TCTGGAGGTAGCCATTGCAGGCTTCGTCTTCAAGCTCTGCGAGTGCTCTACTGCAAGCATGCACGCATGCGCACACTATACAGATGTACATGATTACATCACTACATCTCCCCCTCAAATAAAAAAAAGAAGAAGAAGAAATCAAAATAAAGGAACAAGGTGAAGAAGGAAAAGCCAATTAATTGAAGAGAAAAACAAAAAGAAGAAAAGAAGGCAAAAACCGAAGCGAATGCGCATGCCATGCACCAATCATTCAAAACTGCAAATCACTGAGAAAAAAAAACAAAAACAAAACACAACCACACTACATACTACCGACAAGCGGCTGTGAACGAGGGAAAGGAAAGGAGGAAGAAAAACAAAAAACTTCAGCACAAAAAACGGTAAAATGGTCTCTACGTGGCCATGGACACACTGTCCCACAGCAGCAGCAGCAGTCATCCATAAGCCGCTCTGGCCTGCTCTGTAAGGGTTACCTGACGGCCAGAACGGGTTGTCATGCCATCATGAAATCGCTTGGGAGACTCACTGGCTGGTGGACTGGTCTGATCCCTGCAGACATCGCTAGGAGAAACTGGACGAGGCAAAGAACACGCAGGTGAGGCGTCAGCAAGTGCAGTACGGGTGAGAGGGGCCTCAGCTTCCGTTGACGCTGGCACCAATGGCTCGCTACCTGTCGCCGATTGTGGTGTGGCCGGGCTAGTCGGAACCGGAACACAAACAGGAGGCGTGGACAGCGGTGACTTGGGTACGGAGGCAACAAACTCAGGCCAATCAGACGATGCAGCAGCAGGTGAGACCAATTCTCTGACATGTTGGCGGTTACGAAGCAGAATCCGGACACCGTCGGTTATTCCCACTTGCGTCCCGTACTGCTCCACCACGGTCCACGGCTTGACTGGATCATTGTATCCGTCATGGAGGATCACCCGCTTGCCCGCCTGCAGATGTGGCAAGGCCTTCACTCCCCGACGAGCGTCATGATCACGGGCCATTGTGGCCTTGGCTCTCAGCTGGATGCTGGGGTTGACAATGCGAGGAGGGATCATGGTAGGAACTCTGCTACGCAATGGGCGAGAGAACAGGGCCTCGTTTGGAGAGGTTCCCAACATGCGGTGTCGAGAATGTCGGACGTCGAACAGAACCTGGTTCAGTCGTCGACGGAAAGGTGAATGTGGCTTCAGTGCCACCATTCCTTCCTTGACGAGACGATGGAGTCGTTCCACCATGCCATTGGAACGTGGATAACGTGGGCTGGAGCGGATGTGACGAATGCCCAGCAGCTGCAAGAAAGTTGTCATCTGCTCCGACACAAACTGCGGCCCGCTATCCGAAACCAGTACAGACGGTAGACTGAATAGGGCAAACACTTCATCTAGCTCGTCCACGATAGCTGTAGTGGTTGTAAAGGACAGCACCTTGAGGATAGGGTACCGGGAGCCATAACCAATGGGGGAGAGAACAGAGAGGTCGATTGCCAGCTTCACCCACACGCCTTCAATCTCAGTGGGGAGAAGATCTTGCGGACTGTTTGTGCGACGTTGCCAACACTCGGAGCAACGTTCCACATACAGACTAGCGTCCTTGGTGAGCCCTGGCCACCAAACCCTCTGCCGGAGGGAATCTGGAAAGGCTTCCTGGCCCGGGTGTCCCTCATGCGCTAATGCCATGACGGAATGGCGTAGCCCTTCTGGTATCACAACACGTGCCGACAATAGCAACACACCGTTAGCTGCTGTGAGTTGATCTCTGACGAGATAGTACGGCTGCTCAGCGGGTGAGGCATCGTGCCAGGATGAGGTGAGCACACGCTGCAGGACACTGTGGAGCGTTGCATCGTCTTGAGTGGCACGGCGGATCTCCTCAAGGTTGACTGGTGCTGCCTCAAGAACCATGTTGACGTACTCATTCAATGACCGGGACTCAGCTGGAGACGAGACAGTGGTCTTCAGCGGAGCACGAGACAAAGCGTCAACGCACAACAGTTGCTTTCCTGGGATGTGCTTGAGTGAGTACGAATACGGCATCAGAGAGACTAGCCAACGCTGGAGACGTGGTGGGACGTCATCGAACGGCTTCTGAACTATATGGAGCAGTGGCCTGTGATCTGTGAAGACGTCCACATCCCGGCCCAGAACGTACTGGCGGAAACGAGTTAGAGCGAATACCACACCCAAAATGTCACGCTCCATCTGCAAATAGCATGTCTCCACATCAGTCAATGATCGGCTGGCACAAGTGACTGGCACCCACTGGCCCTTGTCGTCGTGCTGCCAGAGGATAGCGCCCAAACCTTGAGGTGAAGCATCGCAGCTGACAGCCGTACGGACATCTGGAGATGGGCGGAAGTACGCCAATGTCTGCAGAGATGAAGCGACTGCCTGCTTCACTGCGTTGAATGCCGCAATCAGGATCTCAGTAGCTACAAATGGCTCTGGCTGCTTGACGATCGAACGAAGTGGCTCAGTTACTTGAGACAGCTGAGGAACAAACTTGCCCAGATAGGTGACCATCCCGAGAAAACGCTGAACGTCGGCGAGGCACGTGGGCTCCGACAGTTCACTGATAGCTTGAAGCTTGCATGTGTCGGGTTGTACACCTTGCTTCGTCAGGACATGGCCGAGATACTTGACACATGTCAGTCGAGTGCGACACTTGCCCCAGTTGAGGCAGAGATTAGCAGCTTTGAGTCGCTCCAAAACCCTCGGGGGGGCGTGCCTCGTGTTCCGCCCGGTTGCGACCATACACCAAGACGTCATCTATATAGACAACAACACCAGGCAAACCCGAAAGGAGATCGGTTACAACACGCTGAAATATCTCGGGAGCACAGGATATGCCAAATGACAGTCGTTTGAAACGATAGAGACCACAGTGTGTGGTAAACGTGGTAAGCGGTCGGGATTGGTCATCAAGCAAGAGCTGGTGAAAACCAGACTCTGCGTCCAAAACCGAGAAAACCTCCGCTCCCGCAAGCTCAGCAGTAATTTCATCAATGGTTGGCAATGAACGTCGCTCTCGAACAATAGACTTGTTCAACTGCCGATAGTCAACACATAAACGCAAGGTGCCGTTCGACTTACGGACTGGGATGATCGGCGATGCCCATCCAGACGCTTCCTTAACTGGCTCGATGATGTCTGCCTTGACAAAACGATGCAGTTCGTGTTCAATGTCGACCTTGGCGCTGAATGGGGGACGTCGTGCTGGTTGAGCCACCGGCCTAGCTTCAGCATCCACAGAGATGGAAATTGGTGCGGTGTCAACTAAATTGCCAGTGTCCACCAGGTGCGCTGGAACCAACAGCTCAAGTTCAGAGATCACCTCCTGGCCGAACAGAATACGATGTTTCCCATGGGGTACAACAAAAAACCTACAAGACATGGTACGCGTAGGAGATGCGATGGTTACATCAGCCATGCCTAAAGTTGCAATCTCCCTGCCTGTGTACGCCTTGAGGACACGATTACTGCTGCGGGTAGGCTGGACAATGTCATCGGTGAGAATAGTACGGCTTGCACCGGTATCCAGAAAACCTTCACACTCCTTGCCATTCACCAATAGCGATGCGAGGAACTGGCGGTGTGGCCCAGTCTGCTCAGCCATGTACACGGTGTCATAAACCACATGAGCCTGGTCAGCTAAGTCGGCGGGCTCCTCGTCGACGGCGTTAGCATCTAATCCAGAGCGTTGCGACTGACATACGGCCGCAAAATGTACGACCTTGCTACAACTGCGACAGCGGATGGTGGGTGCAGGGCAAAACGACTTTCCCTTAGCATGGGTACGGCCACAGTATTTGCAAGAACCAGACACTGTACGTGGCTGTCTGCGTTGCTGTCTGGTCGCACTAATGGCAGCCACTGAGCTGAACTGATTGGCAGGCTCTGCCGGCGGATCATACAGCTTACTCTCCGCATAGGAGGTCTCCAGTGCCACTGCTTTGGTGATGACTGATGGCATCTGCGAGGGTGAGTCTGGACTCCTTGAGCAACTCGCGACGAACTTCGGGGGATTTCAAACCTGGAACCAACTGGTCTCGTACCTGGGAGTTTACCACGCTGTCCACATCTGTCACCCCGAATTTACATAAGTCCACTCTCTCTCGTAAACGGCCAACGAAGGTGGAGACGGATTCCTCCGGCCCTTGTTTGAGCTGCCGGAATTTGTGACGTTCTGAAGAACGGCGTCCGTCAGTGCTACGTATTCGTCTCCAGGAGAACCATCATCATTTGCTGGCGGAGAAGGAATAACCAGACCCTTCACAACTTTGCGAACTGAGAGTCCGGCCAAATTTAAAAATAAACGCTTTTTGTCAGCAGCAGTGGAAACATTACAAATTGCTAAGTAGTCATTGACATCCTCGAGCCAAAGCTCAAAATCGGCCCCGATGTCGCCGGCGTAATCGGGTACAAAATCCTTGGCCACTCTGCACTTCGTTGTCATCTTGACCTGTTCACTGCGCCAATGTAGATGGACAACACTACAACAATACAAGTCTGGAGGTAGCCATTGCAGGCTTCGTCTTCAAGCTCTGCGAGTGCTCTACTGCAAGCATGCACGCATGCGCACACTATACAGATGTACATGATTACATCACTACAGTCCACGCCGACGTGTGTGAACGGTTTAGACTCAGCTACTCGCTCTGGAGGGTAGGGTGCCATTTTCGGTAGCGAGTACGGCCGACCATTGAACCTCTTGCATACAATACATTTCTTGAGTACAGTCTTGACGGTTTGTCGTCCTCTGGGGACCCAATAGTCATACCTGACTAGCGATACGGTATGGTTAGTTCCACTGTCCGGCACCATGCGGTGACAGTCATTGATGATACATGTGGTTACTGGATGTGAACGAGGTAGAAGGATGGGATACTTCGCTGAGTATGTGGTAGGGATGAATTCTCCAATCGACCCTTGCAGCGGATGACGTTATGTTCATCTAGGAAGAGCGCAAGGTTTTGGACCAGCTTGTTCTTGGCGTTGCTTTTGATAGCCTCAACCTCTGGTGTATAGTGTGTTGCTTGAACATGTTAAAATCCACAGATGTTTGGCGTTGTCGATTTCAGCAGCAGACAAATGAGTGCCGCACGTGGTCTGTTGACGGCATCTCTTGACAAATTTGATACTGTATGCTGTTACACGGGCTAGCTTCTCAAACAAAGTATACTTTCTCTCATCTATACTCAGCGGTGATGGCTTGCTGCTGGTCTCGGTTTCCGCAGGACCCTCCGCCGTGAATAGTACTGTGGAAGGAGCATCGATGACGTCTTTGGGCCAGTGTACAGGAGGATCTCGAAGCCATTCTGGACCACACCACCAAGCTGTACTGTCTGTCAGTGTGGCTAGCGATGCTCCACGGAATGGTAGGTCGGCTGGGTTGTCGGCTGTACGGATGTAGTTGAAGCACACACTCTGGTCTGCACGGATTTCCTTCAACCGATTGGCGATGAAGACAGGGTACGATTTCTCAGTATTCCTAATCCAGCCAAGCACGCACTGTGAGTCAGACCACAAGTGGGTAGCTGAGATGTGAACTGCGCCCAGAAGCTCTTTCTTCAGAAATTTGATGATCGTGGCGCCGATGAGTGCTGCTAGGAGCTCTAGATGTGGTATACTTGTAGCCTTGATGGGCGAGACTCGTGTTCGGCTGTAGATCAGATCAACTGACGAATAGGCACCGTCAACTTGTCTCACACACAGGTATGCGGCTGTACCGTAACCATCTTGAGACGCATCACAGAAGACGTGGAGTTCATAGGTGACCCTTTCGACGTGGATTTTTGGTCCAATGTAGCGAGGAATGGCAACGTCACTTGCGCAGGACAGATCTGACAGGCTATCCTTCCATTCATCAACGAGAGCGTCAGGCAGTGGAGAGTCCCAGTCTACGTGTAGCTTCCATATACTCTGTACTAGGATCTTCGCACGCATGATGACCGGGGAGAACAGGCCCATCGGATCATAGAATTGGGCTATGCTGCGGAGGACATCTCTTTTGGTAATGACGGAGTACTGGTTTGTGGTTGACTTCGCCGTCGACAGAGTATCGCAATTGGTATCCCACGACATACCCAGTTCCTTCATTACATCACAGCTAGACTTGTCTTCAGGAGCTAGAGCATCTCTGAAGTCAGGATCGTTCGTACCCCATTCATGCAAGTTCATGGTGGCACTGGCAAAGGCGTCCTTTGCCTCTCTGTAGTATGCAGTAGCATCCTGGACGCTGCTCTGCCCGGTGACAACGTTGTCAACATAGATACTGCGACGTACATCATCGCATGCCTGTCTGTTGCTGTTGGAGATGGTGGTCGACTGTGGCGGCGAGAAGAAACGGGCTAGTGACAATGCCAAATGGAACTCGGCAAAAGCGGTATATCACTAGGTTGGCTGGGGTGACGGGTTTTGTAGGATCGCGAAGCCATAGGAACCGTGTTACATTGCGATCTGTCATAGATAGACCTAGCTGAAGGAAGGCCTTCTCAACATCACTCACAATGCCAGTGGGGTGTAGCCGAAATCTCACCAGGATACCACACAGATCCGGCAGAAGTATTGGACCTCGGTGCAGGCAGTCGTTCAGGCTGTTGTATTCTGCGCGAGTTCTGGCGGAAGCATCATACACCACACAAACCTTTGTTGTGGTACTGCCGGAGTGAACAACACAGTGGTGGGGGATGTAGTGAATCGGCCCATCCTGGTGATCAAGGTTCACTTCCTTGATAATGCCATTGGCTAACTGCTCTGTGATGGTACAATGATCCTTCTCTAGCACTTGCGGTGTCTGCTGGAGTCGTTTGACTAAGGATTTGAGATGGCCGAAGGCGAGCTCGTAGTTCTCTGGTAGATTAGGTTGTGGAGTATGGCTATCTTTCCATGGCCAAGATACCATATATCGGCCGTTGATCAGTTGCAAGGAGCTGCGAAAGTGTTCCAGGGCAATGTCGTCCGCTGTCTGCGGATCACTGATGTCATCGGTGATACCAATATCTTCAAGTCGCCAGAAACGTTGGAGATCAAATACTGGGTCTGGCAAGGTGGTAGCATCTGTGAGCATTATGTGGCTCGCAGTGTCATCTGTCTCTGTGTCAGTAGGGCCTGCTGGGACAAATCCCAATTTGGAGTTCAGCAAGACCAGGCCATTGTTGAGTTGGATGTGACCGTTACCCCTGATGGAGAAGTAGAAATCCGTGCCGATAAGGAGGTCAATTTCTACCTCTTCACGCTTGGTGACAATGGTGTCAGCTAGTTGGATGTTCTTGACTTCAGGGTACTGGTCGATGTCAATTGGGGATTTGACAACAGGACAACAAATCCACGGCATAACATTGGCGGTTACGGGCAAGGCTGATCCATCTCGACATAGGGGGGAATACTCCACTCTCGGCAGGGTGACCGTTCGCCGGGACGCAGATCCAAAACTAGCGACGGACAACACGTCTTCACCGACAACAGCTGCGTTGACAGAGGCAGCTAACAATTCATGAATAAATGTGCGAGTTGAGCTGGTGTCAAACAACAGTCGGCAGTCTGAGATGTTGCCTTGCACGGCGACAGTTGCGATGGCGGTTGGGAGATTCACACCTTTGGACTGGACGTGCACCGTAGCGGTAGAATGTTTCTGTGGTGCTTGCTGCTGCTGAGTAGGATAGAAGGTACTTGCGGCAGCTGACACTGGTGATGAGCCAAATTTCTGAGGGCACAGGGCACGGTGATGGGTCAACAGATTGCAGTGATAGCAGGGTCTTCTAGCAGTACAGTCCTTTGCCTAATGTCCCTTCCATAAGCATACAAAGCAGTGGTCTTGTAGCTGCTGCTGTCGGTAGAAACCGTGTTGAACGTTGGGCAGGTGTCCGAGAAGTGTTGCAACTTGCAGAAGAAGCATCTCGGAGTGGCGCGCCGCACAGGGGTAACTAACTTGGCTGCCGTGGCCGGAGGTGGGGAGTAGGCAGCATGAGGCTGTGCGAAAACAGGCGGTGGTCGTGGCAGAGTGCTCTCTGGTTTGCTGGCTGTGTCTCCTGCCAGTCGCTCGGCCGATTCACGGACCTCCAGGTAGATTCCCAGCTGTTTCAGCAGCTCATCAACAGTCCAACTCTGATTGTGGGGTGTCTGTGTCTCAAGTTGTACAATGACGCACTTTGGTAACTTGGAAGTGATGACAGGAATCAGCAGCTTCTGTTACACACTTTGACCTTCTGCTTGCAAACAGCGCAAATTAGCCTCCACCTCATCTTAACACAAGCATCTGCATGCCGCACTCACACAACGAGCAACCAGTTTGGGGAATAGGAGGGTTTGTCAATTGCTTTGCCAGGCTCCGAGTGAGTGACAGCTTAGAGCTGTGTGAATGTGTGTGTATGGCAGCTGGGCAGGGCCCTGCTGCGGAGGCTGAGTGAGCCGTATGGAGGGGGTGCCACAGATTGTGGACAATAGTAGAGTGATACTGAGTTACTGAGTGTACAGTCGGTACATTGGTGACATTCGGTTATGCTCTGGCACCCACAATAAGTGGGCTCAGTCTGTCTGATCAGCGCTTACCCAGGACCGGTGCTGCCAGCTTTCATGGCAGTTTGCATGTGGACTTCCGTCACTCGCCAGTGCAAGGCACGGCCGAAGTCTCCCCAGGAATGGACGGAAGAGCACGCACGGGAGTGGGCATGTGAGCGGCGGTAGGGTGGCACGAATGGAATCGCTTGAAATCTTGCCTGGAGAGAGCGTCGGCAAGGATGTTGGTAGTTCCAGGTATGTGACGGGCGGTGACCATAAAGTTACCCTTGGCGCAGATGAAGAAGAGCTGCCGTAGGAGTGACATCACATTAGGGCAGCGACTGGTGCCAGACTTGAGAACAGCGGCGACAGCTTCGTTGTCGGTATGGAAACGGATACGCTTGCGACACCACTGGTGGCCCCACGTAGCACATGCAATGCAGATGGGATACTGCTCCTTGAACGTAATGCAGAGCGGAGTGTGTTGTGGTGACCAGGTGTCGGCGAACCAATGCGTGCCATAAACTGCGCCATGCCCGATGGCGCCAGATGCGTCAGTTTCTATCAGGATGTCGCTGGCCAGCGTCTCCTGGAGATCGAGGAAGAATGACTTGCCATTCCAGCCATCGAGTAGGTGAGACCACCAAAACAGGTCCAGATGACATTCTGGAGAGAGACGGATGCGGTGGTAAGGCTTGGAAACGTTGCGCGTGGCATCATACAGTCGGCGCATGAATGCACGGCCCGGCGTGATGACGTGGCTGGCAAAGTTCAGCTTGCCCAACAGCTGTTCAAGCTCCCGCAGACGGCAGGATTGGCGTTAGCGAAAGGCCAATAGTCTGGAGCGGATGTCGTCCACCTTGTCCTGTGGGAGACGAGTCACTTTCTGGACGGAGTCCAGTTCGATGCCCAGGAAGGTGAGACAGGAGGTTGGGCCGACTGTCTTTTCGTCGGCAATGGGAACTCCCAGGTAGCGGAATACGGAGAGGACTACGTTCAGACGCTGCGCACATAGCGTTGAGTTTGCAGGGCCACAGAGCCAGAAGTCGTCCAGAAGGTGCAGGAGGTGGGGAACCTGGAACAGTTCATAGCTTATCTGGCAAAGTGCGTCCGCAATGCAGTTAAACAAGTAGGGTGCGGACCTCAGCCCGAATGGCAGTACTTTGTCATAGTAGAATTGGACCTGCCACTGGAAACCCAACAAATGGTATGCAGTGGGTGTGACGGGGACCATTCGAAATGCATTGCGTATGTCGAGCTTCGCCATCAAGGCACCGGTAACTTGACGTTGCAGACGCTCAATGGCATCGTCCACTGTGACATAATGTAGGGAGAACGAATCCTTGTTTATTCCATCATTGACAGACATACGGTCAGGGTAAGACAGGTGGTGAATGAGGCGGAATTTCCCGTTGTTCTTGGGCACTACGCCGAGCGGAGAGCATACAAATGGGTGGAAAGGCTGGACAGAGAAAGGACCGGCCGATTCGTCACGTCGGACCCGGTCAGCAATTTGTTGTCGTACAAACTGAGTATGTTCAATGGCAGTTGGGAGGTTGCCAGAGATGATAGATACAGAAGCACCAGAGTGGCCAATGGGGAACCCGTGTTGCAAGCCATTAAGGATAAAGTCAGAGAGGACACGATTAGAAATACGGGGCAAAAGAGTCATTAGGCGGGCTATGTACAGAGGCGTGGGGAGACTACTTCGCTGCAACGGGCTTGTCCGTCTGGCGGGGTCCCCGGCGACCGTCGTTGGTGCAGCGAGCGGCGGGATGACCTCGGTCGCCGCAGGTTGAGCAGACGTGCAAGCGTTCACAGGGCTGGTGTTGGCATGGGCGGCCACGGTTGAAGTTGAGGCAGATCTGGCGGGTGCTACCCACCCCGGCCAGAAATGGCTGCGTATTTCGGCTCGTGTTGGTGCCAGCTGGAGCATGTGGCCCTGCCAAATACTGTGGGCAACGGTCACGGCTGTGGTGCGTTGTGCAGCGCGGACATGATGGTCGGGGTGCCCGGATCAGGTGCAGGCTCCAGAGGCTTTGGTCGATTGCGTCCCAACGAGCCGAGGTTGTTGCCGCCGCTGCACGGAAGGCACGGTCATACCCCAGTACAGCTGGGGTCGCAAACTGCTGGTTGGCAGTACAGATAATGTGCTGGTACGTCACCAGCTCCAGTGCTCGGAATGGCACATGTTTCAGTGCGCAGGCCATGTAGATTGTGTAGGCTTCCAGCCAGGCAGTGAAGTCGACAATGGAGCGCTTCTTAGTCACACATAAATTGAGGGACACACGCCGGCCCTCTCCGTTGGCGGTACTGAGCTCCAAGGGCTCGGACCCTGCGCCCACATTCTCCGGGAGGAGATCCTCCAGCTCCATATATTCGCCGCGTGTGATTTTGTCGAGCAACTTACGCGGGACCGTGGGAACAATAGAGCTGGACTCACGAGTGTTCGCCATGGGCGCTGCGATCGGAGGCAGCGCGGGTTGGGGGGGGGGAGGGGGGGGGCCGGAGTCGACCTGCGGCGGGTGTTTGTTGACGGCGTTGGACGCGGTTTGGACCACATCTGCCACTGAGGGGACCGCCGCCTGATCATGGCCGTCCGGATCCTGGCGAGCTGAAATTCGCTCCTCAAGGCGCTCGACTCGAGCCAGCAGGGGGTGCAGAGCCGTCGACACGGCCGCCGTAACGGAACGTGCAGTTAGGCCAGTTGGGAGTAAGCTGGCCGGCTGGGGAACGGCGAACGGGATATCGTCCTGCTCCGCACGGGCATTGCCGGAACGATCCGCACGGATATTGCCGGAACGATCGGCCGCATGGTCCGCAGGGGCTCGATTCGGAGTGTCGGCATACGGGGACGACGAGGCGCGCCTGCGGCTGGAACGCCTGGGCCCGGGAGCCGACTGCTTACGTGCACGGGGCATCTCCGTGAGCTATGGTAAACCTTGAGATTGAGGTTGAGAAAGAAATCCACTGCCAATGCGGACAAAGCAAGAACTGAAGTCAGGAACAGTGGACTTCGGAGAACAAAGAGCGCGTGAGAGTTTGTTGGGAACAGAGCATGCGCCTTCTGTGTTAACATATTTTTGCGCGTGCGCAAAAATCATGTAAAATCTCCACAACATGTGAGGTTTATTTGATGGCGCTTGCATTTCGGTAATTGCGCGGTATCGGGCTGCGATGATGGCATCCTTCTTGCCAAAGCGATCCTTCAATAATCCTAACGCCACGGGGTAATTTGAATCGGTGGTGGGAATACCGGCAATAACATCCAGGGCCATGCCTGTCAAATGACTTCTCAAATACGACAGTTTCTGTACGGCAGACAGGCTTTGATTTGTACCGATCGCAGATTAAAACATGTCAATGAACTCAGTGAAATGAAGTATGTCACCATCAAACTTCCTGATTGTGAGCACGGGCAATTTCACAGATCCATGAGCACTCTGTGCAGGCTGTGCCGAGTTGGCCACCAGCTGGCCAACCGTGCTGGTGTGCTTCCCAATGGCTGACAGCAACTGCTGTGTTTGTTGCTAAGTTGCGGTGTGCATTGTCAGCAGCTGCTGGACGTCAATTCCAGGTGCTTGACTGCTGGTACTGGTGTTCTGGGCACTGGCGTTGGCTGTGGCTCTTTTGGCTTGAGCACTCAGCAGGGACAGATTTTTGAAGTACGACGGTAACGTATTGGCCATATTTTCATACTCTTCTTCATCTTCTTTCTTTTTCTTTTTTTTGAGTTGCTCAACTAGCGACGAAATCGTATAACGCAGCGCCGTACTTATCTAGGTCAGCATCCAACTTCGTGAGGGCATCTCTATGCTGTTCACAAAACTGGGTCCGAATCCCGACCCACTGGTCTGAGTCGTCAGATGGACAACTTTCTGAAACTAAACGTTGGCACTTCGTATCGTCATCGTGGACAGTAGAATACAATGCACTAATTGTATTTGCTAAAACTCGGAGACTCCCTGGATACTCGGACATGGTTTCGGCACCAATTTATGTTGCGACTAGACTCTCTTAGTTTCACAACATAACCAACTTCATAAGGACTGGGATTAATTCTGACTCATTACTATACGACTTCCTCTAATCGTAGATTCCGCTAGGACCCGCAGGGTCCGACGTGGAATCGGGGTTACACAAGGAGTGAAGGCGAAGAATGTGACAGTGTGTTTGGTCTCAAATCGCTCTAGTTTTCCCTAAATTTCCAGCGGTTTAAAGATAAAAATGCAAATGCGCGCCTTGATTGCACCTAGCACCTCTTGCTTTCTTTGGCCTTTTCTGACCAAAATGATAGTGCAATCAAGAGTAGTGACAGTGAGGGGTTGGTGACACCAGCACAATGGGCGGGAACACACTGTCACATTCTTCGCCTTCACTCCTCGTGTAACCCCGATTCCACGTCGGACCCTGCGGGTCCTAGCGGAATCTACGATTACACTTCGGAGCTTCGGCTTCGAATGTGACAGTGTGACTTTTAAAGTGATCCACCACCTCAACCAAGGCAAGGGCGTAGCCAAGCATTATGCGCGAAGGAGAAGCGCGCATGTGGAGTGAAGGAACAGGCATCTCGCAGAGTGCCTGATATACAGTAAAAATGTCTCTATGTATCGAGGATACACCATATGTACAGGTGCCCTTCAAGTCGGAGACAAGAAGGGAGAAAAGGGCGACAGTCAATTAAAAACGACTAGCACAGGACACAGATAATAATACTGCGACACTATGGCGACACGACATGCATCCAGCTGCTTCAGCTCGTCTGCCAAGCCCTTGTTGGTAACGAAAGCCTGGTGCATGGTGGGTCGGGCACAAGGCACACGTGCATGCAGTACCGGCGTATCCGCCATATCAGTACTAAACAGTACGAGACTGATCTGGTTGCTAGCTATGGTTGCGTAGATATTCCAGGATACGTACGATGAAATGCTATCCACAGTAGTAAATTACAGATATGGTTACTTGGACCTGCCGTTGTACGGAAAGGGCCGCGCTGATATGCACATATCATATGGGCAATGAATTGATCCCAGTTATGGATGCGGCAGTAATCGTGCAAGGCCTTGGCTGGCCAGACCAAGAAGGGGGTGGTCCCTCGCGGTGCCTGAGGTGGGCACTAACTTGAGTAGTGGAAGGCAGTATACCACAAGTCGCGTACACGAAGGCAAGTGTACATGACATTGCACTCTTGGCACTACGCTCAGCAGATAGCTGGAGCGCCCGTGTCTGTACGTGCTCCAGCCACCCGGAAGGTCAGACTGAGGTATGGCAACAGTAAAAGTGTTATATGCTTCACCACTTCGAGGCTGCTATCACAAAAGGTGCTTGAGCAATAGGAATGGCAGTACATTGTTGGCACTGCACAAATGGCAACCATTTGATGTTTATTTTTCATTGCTCACAGAGGTGCATCAGCCACCTCTGACATCGTTATCATGCTTCCAGAACCATGTATCTACATACAGGTAAACCTGCCTGAACTGGACGCCCGTGGTGCAGCGGAAACTGGTCTATGACATTATTCCGCTTGACACAGGGATGCACGTTCGATCCACAGCCCTTTGGTGCAGAAACATTTCCCGGTCAATACGGGATTCTGCTTGGTATAGGAGCAAGCAAACACAGGTAGAACTGTACTTGCAAAACAACAAAATGAGCATGGCAGAACGGCATTAAGTTATGGGCGTGACTCTGGGCATGAAACAAAGCACTCGCCGGTGCTTGCAAAGCCACGAGACCATCGTTCATCACCAATGGACTGATGGTTAGAGGGTGGCAAGGCCCCCGACAGGGCCTGCCCACTGGCGTGACGGAAGCCACCATATCTACAATGACCGCACAGTCCACAGACATGGGTGGATGCGAGTTAGGCACAGACATTGGAAAGGCACTCCTGCTTTTCATGAAATTGCCCTGACCACACAAGGAAGTAACGACTCAGGGCAAGAAACAAAGCACTCGCTGGTGCTTGCAAACCTTCGAGACCATCGTCCATGGATAGTGGATGGATGGATAGAGTGGTTAGAGTGCGGCAAGGCACGCGACAGGGCCTGCCCACTGTAGAGACCATCGTCCATCGACAGTGGACGGATGGTTTGAGTGTAGCAAGGCACGCGACAGGGCCTGCCCACGGGTTCGACCATCGTCCATCCGCAGTGGATGGATGGTTAGAGTGGCTAGAGTGTGGCAAGGCACGCAACAGGGCCTGCTCACTGTAGACTATCGTCCGTTGATGTATGGTTAGAGTGCGGCAAGGCACACGACAGGGCCTGCGACAGGGCCTGCGACAGGGCCTGCCCAGTGGTGTGACCATCGTCCATCGACAGTGGATGGATGGCTAGAGTGTGGCAAGGCACGCGACAGGGCCTGCCCACTGGTGAGACCGTCGTCCATCGACAGTGGACGGATGGTTTGAGTGTGGCAAGACACGCGACAGGGCCTGCCCACTGCCATGATAGAAGCCGCCGCATATCCGCCATGTCCGCGTCGTCCATCGATGGGGTTGGATACCAGTTACTTGTAGGTACAGAGATTGGCAAGGCACTCGTCCGGGCCTGTCCAATGACGTGACGGAAGCCGTCTGTTGATGTTGCTACGCGCTAAGCGCAGAGCCTTTGGCAAGGCACTCGAAAGAGCCTGCCGAACTCGTGAAGGCCGCCCTGACCGAACAGG